TGACCTCTTGAGGTCCCTTCCAACTCTGATATTCTATGATTCTAGGACAGAATAACTGAACGAGAAGACAGAGATTCCCAGAATTATTCTAGGTAGCCCTGAAAGACTTTTGGGAAACTGGCAGTTTATTACATCATTGCCACCACTTGGAGTTACAAACTGTCATTTATCTATTGTTATATTTTACCTGCTTTAATCTCTCAATAACTGCAATTCTTTTTTCTTAGCTAATAAAACTTTTGTTAGTTTACTATAGAATTGGCTGCCAGCATTGTCAGAATCCTACTTGGACTCCATGCATGCTAGTGAATTGCCCTATAGCCATTTGAATTTGATGGGAATAATATGTGGGCACAGGCCCTGTTACAGAATTGTGGGGGCCTGTGCACTATGGAAATTAGGTCCCCCATCTTCCCTAAACTAGACAACCAAGCACCCCAGGCCCATACAGGCCCAGAATGCCCCTCTCTCTTCAACCCACACAGAGCCCCTGAAAGCCCCTCACACACCCCGAATGCCCCTCTTGCTCCATGCACAGCCCCCTGAATGCCCTTCCTGCCCCCTCTTCCCCCTGAATGCCCCTCACACCACCCACAGCCCCCTGAATGTCCCTCTTGCTCCACACACAGTCCCCTGAAACTCCCTCCCATCTCCCACAGCCCTCTGAATCCCCCTCCCACCCCACATATACACCATCAACCCTCTACCAGCCCCACCTATCCTGACCACCCTCACACACATCCCAGCAGTGCTGACATACATCCTGCTCACCACAGCTCCCAACACCTTAATGTCACTGGCCACAGCCTCCAACATCCCCCACTCACCCCCAACACCCTGACCCCCCACCTCCATTCCTCCAACATTCCCCACTCCCACACATCCTCCACAACTCCCCCCACCATCCCCCATTCACTCTCAACCCCTCACCCCATAGCCCACCTACAGCTCACCCTTACCCCCACCCCCACCATCTCTGGGACCTTCCTAAGCACTCAAAAGCGCCCGCTGCCCCCAGCTCAATGCTCTGCTCCCATCCCAGGCTAGGGCGGATCCTCCCAGTCCTGGCCAGCCCGCTCCG